CGATCGCGATGAGCGTCTCCGCCGCCGCGGACGACGGCTACTGGGACATGGAGGGGTCCGACGTGAGCTCCGTTTCCTCCGGGATCGGCGACCCGAGCTCCAGCCTGCTCGTGTCCCCCTCCTGGGACGAGTCGATAAACCCGCGGCTGAGCGGCTGCCTCAACCGGCTGTCCGTGCGCACCTTCATCAAGGAGGAGAAGAGGAGGTCGGGATTCTACGACGACGCTTGTGGCGACGAGGAAGAGGTCGGAGTTGGCGATGGTGAGTCCGGGACGACTCTCTCTCTCTCGTGTGTGGTGCAAAAGCATTGGGGGCATATCCCTGGGAAGGACGACGACATTCATTACACAATATCGGAAAAGGTGAGATCTACGTATTAAGGAGGTGCCGAGGGTAGGCGACGGAACGGCAGTGTTTGTAGTGATGGCAACTTTGTCGAACCCGTTCACGTCGTCGGGTATTTTTTTGTTGGAGCATGTGGACCTTAAATTTCGATTTCGACACCTGATGAAGGCCGCTTGTGTTGTGGCCGAAACGTCGTGAGAATTTTATTGTTATTTTATTTTATCAATTTATTATTTTATTCTCATTCTACGTGACTTTACCGAAAGAAGCAAAGAAGACATGTGGACCTTTTTAAAATAGTAATGATGAGCACGAGAAGCTGCTGTGCCCGTGCGAAGGTTCACTGTGCGTATTTACTCGTGAAATTTCCTTGCTTCGACGTTTTAAATAATACTCTTTGGTTCTATTCGGTAAAGTCACGTAAAAGTATAAAACAACAAAAAAAATCACGACGTTTCGGCCACAACACAAGTGGCCTTCATCAGGTGAAGGGACCAGACTGTCTCGAGGACAGCGCTGGAGTGAACACAGCCAAGCTCTCAGACCGCGACCTTTAAGCTGTGTGCGAGGAAGCAGAGCGCCTTGACAAAGGAATTGGCATAAAAAAATAGCATTTGATTGGCGGACTTTTAAATAATATTGCACCGTCGCAGTGCATCCGGGGTAAATCGCCCAGAATGCACCCCGATCTTATCAGATCTCAGAAGCTGAGCAGATTGGAGCCTGGATATTGTTTGTATGGATGACCCACTACCATGCACGGGACAGGTTGTCATGGGGCTTGATCGGATCCGGGGTGGACATCAAGAGGGGCAGTGCAGCAAAAATCCGTTGTGGTGGTGTACTTCTACGTACCCACATCTCACATCTGGACTCCCCACATTCAACAAATCAACACTGACCAGCTATGGTCCAATAAAGTAATACAGTCCCGTAATAGCAATGCGCTGTGGACAGCACTATTGGAAATAGGGGTTTAATGATGCATCGAGTAATCCGTTTCAAATTTATTCTTAAGCATACAACATGTGTATATAGTCGTAGTTCCTTGATTGATAGTCGACTTCATTGTTTTATATGCTGTATATAATTGTTAAGAGTGATCGTTGCATCCAATGGAGGTGGTACAATTCACCCACAATGGGTACAAAACAATGTGGATTCGTGAATCGAACCGCGACCTCGAATCGCCACTTGGGCGCGAATCGTTCCACCCCTATGAATAAGTAACAATCTCGTAACACAGGGACACAATACAGCAATGTTCTAAATGGGTAACAATGTGGCAAGTGTCCGACTCGCACTCCGAAAGCTTTCAAATTATAATTCGGACTAAGCCCGGTAAAATGAGCACCGCTTTGTTGGGACGTCAACGGATGTTGTCGTATGATGGGCATGTGGAATTTCAACCACTGGCCTAAAGCCGTCAGTGGAGATGAGCACTTCCCATTGCTCACTGGAGCACGTGGACACTTTAACCTTGTTTAAATAATAATGTAGCATAGCACTAACATGCTCTTCGTAGAGGTCTGCTTAAGTGCTCTGTACAGTACATTCGAAATAAGATCGTCTACCAACACTGTCGTTAAGTTCCCATTTCAGTACTTTACCCACCCCCGATTAGCACGGTTGGCTACGTACGGTGTGAAAAGCTAAACGTGCATACATACAATACATACACAAGGGCTACTCACGTGTACTTTGTCACAAGGCAGAGGACGGATACGTACATAATTAAATTGCTTAAACAGTAAAATATCATTTGAATTTATAAGGAGCCTAAATGTGCATCTTGAAGACTGCCTAAATAAAACTTGTTGCTCAGCGCACATAGCTACGGCGTTGCAGTATCATTGCAACATTAAAGCTTGGTAATTGGAAGTCGTACCCAGAATTGTGCAGCGGCGGTATAAGATCCGTGACAGTTCCATATAGTAGCGTGTGTGTGAATGCTAAGGAAGGTGGCGATGATTGGTGATGTTTGGCGCAGCATGCCACGGCTCAGGACTGGCGGGGCAGAGCCCTGCCGTCTGCCACCAGCGCCACCACCACGGAGATGGCAACGCGCTCCATAATCATCATCATCGCATGGTTGGTAAAAAATTAAGTCATAGTGCAATTGTGGCCAAGCAACGCAACCGATGGACCATATAGTAAACCACTAAGTCTGCGCTCCGTCACCGGATCTCGACATTGACATTTAGCTGCCATCATTCGCAAGAATAGAATTCTGCTGCTAGCCGATTCTCCCAGTGGCGAGTTTGGGGTGCGCAGCTACGCAGACCTACAGATGGCTGTCTCGATCTGCGGAAGTGCATCGGAAACGGGCGTGAGTTTTTAAAAGCAAACAATTTTGAAGACGGCAAGCTGCGTGGTGAGAGAGCAGCGTGGGAGAGCGCGGCCCGAGTGAGAAACATCGGTGAAGCATTTGCGTAAATAAGTGAGATGGTGCTGAAAGAAAATAATGGCACTTCAGAAAAAAAAGTGTTCCGTCGGCATTTTTGTGGATTTGGTCACTTTCAGCATGATAACCCGGAACTTCCTCCAGCTACTTGTTGCCACAAACCACAAGTATTCCAAATATCCACTCTAAGCAAAAAGCCTCGTTTTGAGCCTGAACCTCCCAAACAGACATCACGCTGGCAAAGAATGTGTGAAAGCCATCGGCGTTGTCATGGATACCAACTCTAAGGGTCCTCATATCTGTGTCTGTGCAACATCTTCCGGCGTCTGCTACTTCCTCACTCTAGCCCAATGTTCTTCATTGCAAGGCCCGTGGGCCACTGGCAGCCCCTGGTGGCCTTTAGTACGGCCCCCCACAATACGCAAATGTGAAAACACCCCCCCATCATCATCACGCTGCTGTCAAACCCCAATGGTTTCAAATGTGTGGCAGCCCACACACTGATGTCTTATTGGCAAAAGTGCCCCCCCCCTCTGAAAATGAGTGAAGAACACTGCTCCAGCCACAGCTAAGACTTTCATCCATGCCTTCATCACTTTCAAACTCTACTATTTCAGCTCTCTCCTACTGCCTTCTAAAATTCCTCATCTCCAAACTCCATATATTCCAAAATGCTGCCGTCAAATTTCTCACCTGCCCCCCCCCCCTCCTTGAACGAAAGAACATCACCCTGATGCTCCCAATCCAGGGATATCCTGGTGGATTGTAATCGATTCGTTGTCAAATGTGGCATGTGTGTGGGAATCCATACCAAGTTTTTACAACCGTCCAAGTCAGCAGTTCTTCCCACCTCGCATTACAGCTGATGTAAACGGATGTGCTTCCTTGACCCAGTTAATCTCAATTGGCCAACTTACTAACAAGCCTGACATGGAGCTAACTTAACGAGCCAAAAAATGTATTCCAATTAAAGTTGATTACCATGCCTGTCTGAAACCGGAGCTTTCTAGCCTTAATGCAGATGTACAGACACGGCCACTGTACGTATTTCTAAATGTAGGGTGCACGCTTTCTTCAGGGTTTTTGTTGGTCCGTGTCATGTGTGCTTACTGTGCATTCTATTGTGTAGCAAAACCCAACAGGACGCGTATTGTGCACATTTTCTGCCGCATCTCTCAAGAGGAGACGGCGATCATTCCGAGGGGGATAGCCAGGAGTAAAAAGCCTTGCACTTTGGGGTTTTCACGATTGTGCCGCAGCATGGCTCTGGCGGTGCGTTTTCGGGGTCGTTTTCGCGAGTCGTCGTTCTGCGCAATGTCCGACGTTTCGCTCCACATCCTGGGAGCTACCACTTCCCGTGAACATCGCTTAGAACGCGCGGTGCAACCCGAAGAAATGAAATATGAGCGTGCGAGGGCGCCAATGTGGCGGGATGTTAACTACCTTGCCTGGTATGCAGGTAGTCATGGACTCACCCAGTGGTCGCGTAATGGGAATGGAATGTACAGGCCGATTTACAATGAGGAACAATGCTGTCCCGCATCTGTGGAGAATTGAAAACCTGCGTGTTTTCGCGAACAGACTTCCGCAAATGTGGTTACTGGGGAATTTGTAGGTGAGGATTTTCAAAGAACATCAACAGTCCTCTTCAGTCCTTTCCTGGCTTGTAGTCCGCATAACAAATTATATAAACTGAAAGCATGCGTGAAGGCTTCGTTTTAATGTAAATGCGCACGCACTGTATTGCACCTTCTGGCGTTTCATGTTTACACTGCCTCTGTACAGTGGTGTGTGGGTAGATTGAGCATTTGAAACTCGTCATAGCTAACTGGCTATTTCACTTCTCCATTAAAGGGAATGATAGATCAACAATGACCTATCAGTGATTTAAAAAATGTGTTTTTACCGTGTTTTTTTAATACGGCATACAAAGCACCACTTAGAACTAAAACAGTACAGTAAAACAGAAGGTAATTTTGGGTTTGGCGAAGCGTTATTTTTGTGCTTTTCAGGTTGTGTGTATGTCGAATTACTCTCCCACCCTATATAGCCAGCCGTGCCAATCGGAGGTGCCACGGTGGGCGACGAAGGGCAAATTTCACTCCAGCGCTGTCCTACCAGACTGTCTCGTCCCTTCACCTGATGAAGGCCGCTTGTGTTGTGGCCGAAACGTCGTGAGAATATTATTGTGTTATTTTATTTTATCAATTTATTATTTTATTCTCGTTCTACGTGACTTTACTGAAAGAACCAAAAAAGGAGGGCAACAAACTAAACACAAAAAGCAGTTTTAAAGAAATGTGTGTTTTTTTATTTAGTGTTGTTCGAAACGATGTCCGACGAAAGAAGCTCCCAAGCACGTTGGAGAAGGGAAAAAAAAGGCGAATGCCTCACAGCAATGCTTGGTTGACTGAACGTCTACGGTACGGTAGTGCTGCTGACAGAAAGAGACACGTTGTAATCGTGACTGTCCAAAGCAGTGCACGCCTTCTTAATGTTTCACCTAATCATAAGCTGTGTTTCCAGCCCAATGATGCACACGGTTTTTATATATGAGGCACTCCAGATTTGATCCGTGAGATGTTTACACAGCGCATCACCAGCTGCAGGGGGGGAAGGATAAAAAAAAGACCCTGTCAATTGCCACCTCTTCTCCAGTCTGCTCGCCGCAAAGCAGCTTATGAATGGCGTCATCATTTCCATTTAGGTTGGTGTCACAGTTGCTGCGTCCCATCTGCTTTCTGCTTAATTTAGTTGTTTATGACATTGCCGCTATGCATTTGAGAGAGAGAGAACCAACCGCTGGACCTCGCTCGACAGCTTGGAGGGTTTCAGGCTTTCTCATTACAGCAGTTTCACGATTAGCAAGCGAGTGCGCGTGAGCTTCCTTCTGCGTTCGCCGCACTTCCCGGCTAGGAGCTGTCCGACCTCGGCGAGACCGTTGCTGATTTTGAGCGTTCAAGTCAAAATAAACAGCGCACGGAGCGGCGTGTAGCGTTGCGCGTTCGTCAGGTGAGCCGTGTGCCGAGTAAAATTTTTTTTTTAAGAATAAGAAGTAGGGAGCTGTCATCGGGGAAACACCGCTCGGCAGTCTTGCCAGCCAGAGAAGACCTTCGACGGCAGTCGCTTGTGGTTGGGACGGAAAGGATTGTCACTCGGCGGCCAGTAGATTGTTTTCGTCTTCCCCCTCTGCAAAGCTAGCAGAGAGCGTGCCTGCACATTGAACACCCCCCGGGGTGCTTGCGATAGAACCTGCTTCTCACAGCGATGTACAAGAAAGCGGCCAAGACCCCGTCCAGGGCTGTGTCCAGGCTGTGCGAGATGAGCTTTCAGTCGTTCTTGTGTCCAGTGATGGAGGAGAATGGTAAGCACTCGGTCGCATTGTGTAATGGCTGTGTCATTAATTTAAGTAATTGGTGTAGACCAACCCTCTGTTCTATGCTTACGGCATGTTTACTCTGCTGTGCGTGTGTGCGCGAAAATTGTATTGTTTTGGCTGGCGGGGATGTTCTCTGTTCATGTTACATAGAAGTCTGTTGCAATGAGTACCACTTTATGAGAAGTCAAAATTTAGTTGTTCAAATGATAGACCATCCCTTGCCATAGGAATGTGGAATTTCCACGACCGGCTTAGAACACCGCTGCGGGTGAGCAGCAGCCAACATTCGTTTAAACAGAGAGACACTTGGTATCAAACACTTATGTCTTCAATGGTACAGTGGTGTGCTTATACATGGGATAGAAAGCATTTTCATTTAATTGTGGGGTAATGTAATTTTCCTTGAAGTCTTTTGAGTTTTCTTGTTTAACGTTTTGGTGCAAACACTGCCAACAGCAATTGCGAATACATTCTGAAAACTCGGCTAATGCTGTATGTCGTGCTCCGTTCTGGAGCTACATAGAGAAAATTAAAGTTCCCAATCGTCTTGGCGGGAATATCGAAGTAGTACTGTATCTTTTGATTTAAAGCTTTCGTGACTGCAGGGATTCATATTCTTGGTTCTTTCAGTAAAGGCACATAGATGGGAAACAATAAAATAATAAAGAACCAAGAATATAGTAAAGTATCGTGTAATTACGTTCATAAGCTAATACGCTTGTAAAAACTTGGCAATGGAGACCACGTGGGATTTACAGAATCTTGGTACATTCATTTCATTTATTTCGTGCCAAGTTTATCGAATTAGTGTAAATGTGTGGCAGCTGATATGATCAGTAAATTCTGGATCGTTGTACTTCTGTTTGCTGCGTTTATTTATTGCAAGTTCAATACCTAGCTGAATTTAAGAATGGAAAGCTAAATTGTACTTCGGGGTGATGATACGGAATCAAGTATTTTAGATTTGTATACCTTGTATATTTTGGGTTCACATGACCCCTGTTACCAATATAGGGAGGCCACTACATTCATCACAAAATACATATCTAATCGTGCCCCTCTCACTTGTGACTACTCATTTCATCGCAAAACATCTCATCCTTTTAAGATCCAGTGAAGTGAGTTTATTTGTGGCTGAACATAGAGCACTAGATCCTAATGTTAATAAATCCAAATGTTATTGGGTATGTGACTGAAAAGTACCCATAACATTATTGAGTGCATGAAGGTTTACATGAATCCTATTTCAAACAGCACACGCAAATGTGTCTGAGAGCACTGACCATTTGCGCAACTTATGCAAAAACAATGGGCAGTTCCATAAAAAAGTGCATTGTGGTTTTCCGGCCTGCACTGGATTTTTTTTTCTGTTAGGATGGGTATTTTTCACTATTTACAGATTTGAATATTGAATTTTACTGACTAATAATTTTTTCACGTGACTTTCCATCAAAAATGGGGGTTTTTTTTACTGGCAGCAACAATTAATTTACTCAAGCTTGTCCACGTGTATTGTGAAAAATTGGCATTTTTTTGTTAACGAACATGCCCGCTCCATGATAGTCATTGAGAGTGCAGTGTTGTTGCAAACTTATGATTTTCAAGACTTCTGCGGCTTTGTGTGTTTTGTTTTTGTGATCGCCTATGTTTGTTGGCAGCCAGCCTCGCTTGATCGTTTTAGCCGAGTAGTGTTATTAACCTAACTCCCACGACCGCTAAATTGCACTTGTAATTTGTCTTCCAAGAAGACATGTTGCGAGCTCTAGGAACTTTTATTCAGTCCAAAGATATGTAGTCAGTCGTTGCTGCTGCTGTTCCCAGGCACACAATTTGTCTTCCTCTTGGTCAGTTTCTTGATCGATCTTATTGATTTGCGTCATGGGTGGACCAGTGGGATTGGGTGGGGGGGGGGAGCACTGCTACTGCAATGGTTAGCACATTACACGATTAATCCAGAGACGACCTCGGTTCGATTCCCGGCAAATGGCTAGTGACTGATATCATCAGTAGGGAGTGATATCCAAACCAGCCATGTGCCCCGCCGTCCCCTCTGCAGCAACCCACTACTGACCGGCCTGGAGTAATAACCCCTCATTGACCAACACGGCATGGGGGGTGGGGGGTGGGGGCGACCTTCATCCAGCAGTATATTGACAAAAGGGCTTTTTTTCTTCGTCGAAGGCGCCCTCCACTGATCGCAAGTTAATCTTAACCAACTGCAATTCCTGTCGGGGGCAAAATAAAAGGTACATATGAGGTTAACTGTTGGCAAACATGAGGGGAAGGCTGAATTAAATCATAGTCTGCACACTGCGCATCGGACTTCCTCTACCGGTTTTCAGTCACCATGCTGGCGGTACGGTTAATCCAAAAAAAAAAAATCAGGTTCCCCTAGTTTGGCCAGGAATGACGTTGGTTCCCGTAATGAGCTATTGTGCCAGCCGTTCTAGATATGTGTGTGCGCACGCGCGCCGTACTTTTAACTGCAGCTGAAGTCAATCTTTCTGGTGACAATTGTAATGCCCCATTGGAACCTCCTTTGGCAGTAGCAAAATATGACAATTGTTTTTTTTACCCTTTTACCTGGCAACAAAACTGACACTTTTTTTTTACAAGGAGTCATGTTTGCATTGACCACAATACCTGCGGTCGGAATGCAAACAAAAAAACATAACTCTGATAATGTATTGGCATTGTCCTTGAAATTGATTGGTCCACACCCGAGACAGCTTTCCTTAGAGCCTCGTCTCACGTTGGTGTTGGACCAGATGACGCCAAAAGGCGCACAATTCAAAGACAATGCACCATCAGATTACGAGAGCTCGGGGTAAATGGTGTAAATGCTTATCAAATTGTAATGCCGTTCAATACTTTGGTACGGTAACAGTGTTGCGTGTATATATATCACACTTGCTGGGGACGGAGTTCTCGGCCAATGTGTGAAAAGGTTGGATACCTCAACATTTGTGTTATGACAGGTACACCCACGCACTGGGTGTGGAGCGATTAATTGGTCAGGGTTGAGATATGTGGTTGTTGGATATTCGGTTGTTACTGTATTCCCGATGATGTTCGGGCAGAGCCGACCGTAGTAGTCTAGCCGCCCGAACAAAATGCTTCAATGTTAAAAGTTCACATTGATGGCTTGTGGCTAAAGTAGTTTCGGGGATAATTGTCATGGACAAAGAAAATGGAACAAAAGCTAAAAAGTGCCCAAACCAGCATAGAGTCGCATACTTGGAATTGTTCTACACTGAGAGACCAAAAGTGGAACTCCAGATTATATTCGAGAAAGTACACAAGTTTATAAAATGATATTGACTGCAAAGGAAAGAAAAAAAGGGCTTGGGCAGAGCACATCCATGGCTCGAAGGAACGATGGCCATTGGCGAAGACTAATGACAGAGTGGCAGCCAAAGGAAGGAACACGCCCAAGAGGATATCCACCGTGGGGATGGAGCAATTTTTGAAAGCGGACCTTGACGGGGTTGTTGCATCGCGGGACTGTGAGAGATGGCGGGACGGGCTTTAGGAGGCCTTCGCCCAGCAGTGGATGAGATCACTTCCGACCGTGGATGACGCACACTGCAGCCGTCTTGCTTCATTTAATGCCAGGGCTGCGGAATGAGCTGCCGTCGTTGCCATGTGCTACGTTCGCCCGGCCACGGAGCTGGCTGCCTGCCCCGACTACCTCTCAGCGGGCCACAGCTCCAGTCTGCATGACGCGGGCAGGGCTGTGGCAGCCGCACATTCCTTCACGCATGCACGCATCGTACAATTGGATTTTTAAATGCCTGTGGTTAAATGGAGTTGCATTTCATGCATTCCAGTGTGGCTGTCATATCTCATTAGCTTTGGGGGGGAAACCTTGCTCGTTCAGTTCAGTGCTCCAAAGAGGTGTAAACTGGCTTTTTTGGGAGAGCCCTTTGGTGTGTTTGTGTTTGTTTCTTCCCTGTTTAATTATTTCTGGTATCACTGGTCTGTGTATGCTGCCGCATTCCAAGTCTCTTGCGATGTTCGAACGGGGGCCTGAAAGGTAATTAAAATACTGATAAAACATTGGAATGAAAGGAATGCACTCTGAGGTTCTTGGCTGCGGTTGATAATGTCATCTGATTGTGCAATCTTCACCCCGCTCCCTGGACATATTGATAAGCAACCGTGATGATCTTGAATTGGGGGGGGGGGGGGGGTTGCGATTTATATCAAGATTATTTTTAAAAAATATACTCTACATCGTGGTGCACTGTAGTTCCTTTCAGTGGCTGCAAGGTTCCCATTAGCAAATTGCTTGCAACAACTTAAAAAATTATCCGATTTCTCCCACGCACCTTTCCATCACTGGGCCATTCGATCACGGTGAGTGTAAGCGTCGATCCATCGTTGTGCCACTCGTGACCTTTAAGTATGGGGGTGGACATAAACCCCCCTGGACTAGCATGGTGAAGTATGGTCAAACAACCCCCTCCCCCATGACTGACATTGTTTGGGGAGATCGTTCGCACGTGCCAATCGGTTTCATCGTGACTAAAATGGAACTGGATTTGATTATTGATTCCATTGCTTTTGGAATGAATCGATTGTGAGACAACATTTTATATATATCGATATTCGATTAACTACGCTGGTATGAATGTGGTCTTAATATTTTTTATAGTCGCTGTAATACGCGAGTTGTCATGCGATTTAAATCACCATTTTATCCCGCAACATTAGCGACGGGGCGGGATGCTTCATCGTGCGATGCGTGAAAACGATGCGACGCGCGGTAAGACAGCAGTGCGAAAGAATTTGAGCCGACACCGCTCGGTCTTGCCCTCCCTCGCACTCCATCGGCTAATGTGCCGTCGTGATAACGGTAATCCTCCATCCACGGGGATTACCAGAACAACGCTCGTCATCGTGCAGTTTAAGCCACAGGAGCCGTGCCGGCGTGATCGTGGCGAGGACCATCTCTGAACTCGTGGTGGTAGTTGGAATGCAATCGGAGGCTCTGGCCGTTTGATCACAACCCCCCGGTGTTCCATCGCCATCTCGGGTGCTGTATCATCCTCCCAGTGAACAGGGATTTTCTACATTGTGCATCTCCTGAATGCGAGTGCCTTGACACAAATGCCGCTGGAACGTTGCGGATCGCTGCTCATGTAGATTACGACTCGCTGGTCAATGTAAGTATTAACTCAATGTGCAGTGAAATTGCACTTTAGTTCACTTACGTGGGTACAGTATTTATATTTCTGTGCCAATTATCCTTTGAACAGTAGTCGCCTGTTTGGAGCCCGACGAAGGGAGGCTGCAGCAAATTTAGATGCATTGTTGTTGCAGCTACCAAAAATATTAATGCCAGTTTGTGTGTGTGTGCGTATATATATACACACTGGCGTTAATATATACATTCTTGGAATGCTTGTGTGTGTATATATATAAATATATGTATAAATATATGTACACCTAGAATTTTACTTGAAATGCATAATTCTGAAAGCAAAATTTGGCCTTTATGGAACCAAAACTGCACACTTTACATTGTATTTATTTTTACTCGCCGAGAGCAAGAGTTCAAATCGGTGGGAAATCGGGCAGGGTAGGGAGCTTGGGTGGAATGAATTGGGGAAGGTTCAGGTTCATATATCGCTCCTCTGATGGTTAGCCTTGGCCAGGAATTTAACTCTGCAAGATTCGTAGCACTGTAAGCTAACCACTGTACCACTGCCTCCCACATATCCCAGCGTACAAATACACAGATCTCCCATGTATCCTACATAAACAGTTGGGGCAAGTGCTGTGAGCAGGCACACACGCGCACACACAAGACTAGGTAAATGTTTCCCACTCGTTATTCGCTGGTATCGAAAAAGGATACTTCTTGGGTTTGAAAACAAGCCGACTCTGCAAGATTTTAAATCCAAAGGCCTTGCAGATCTGCATCACTTTGCACAGAGCGCCTTTTGTGTGGGCTGCGGACACGGTGTGCACAGCAGATTGTGAGCCCCGTGACTGCCTAATGAGCTGTCGCGCGCGCACTCGTTATTTTATTTGCTGAATCCGGAATTATCGCAGATTAACAGGAAACTGTGCTCGCCGTTGTTGGCAGAGCGTTCAATTCTCGATCGGAAGTGTCTTGCATTCAGTTCCAAGTCCGGAGGAAGGTGTGGGTCACCTTGATCAATCATCACTCTGGGGTGAATACAATTTTACTACCTCCTTTGTGGCCAGTCACTCTTTGTACTTAGGTAGACTTGACCTAGCTGTGTGAAAGTGGAATGTCCACCACTGTGTGTAAACATTATCTAAACGTAATTTTCATAATAATTTAGGGCGCTTTGTCAATTCACTGCCCGATTTGTAAATCTTCCCCCACACAGTGTCGGTTGTGTGGGTTGTTTAACCACACTTCAGCACAACTGGTCACGGCGGGTTGCTAATGGTTGCTGTCAAGCAAACCCCCATCATGGACATGTGGTGGAGACGCCTTCATCCAGCAGCGGATTAACAAAGGTCTCTATTTTTAACAACATTTGAACTGGGTTGCTGCGTCACTGCTACGAGTGAAAGAGCGCCGGTGTTTGCATGCCAATTTACCTCCGCGGGCTATGACACAGCGCATTACAGATGCAGAAAGCGGCATCATCACGCGGGAGTGTGTTCCCTCGATGGCAATCCTCGTGAAAGGAGAGGGCCCTTGTGCCAGTAATCAGAATGCCTACTCTCGTGTTGAATTTCTGGTTTTGGACCCGAGCGGCGGCGGCGGCGGCGGCGGCGCCGGCTTCACGGTCCGGTCGTCGGCAACATGACGCTCACGGATTTTGCGAGGTTGCGAATGTTGCCGTGCGTGCGAACCAGCGCTTCTTCGTGGGTGTCGTAGTTCCGTTTGGTGTTCACAAGCAAAAGGGGAGAGCGAAAGGTGGTTCTTGTGTCCCCCCCCCCGGTGAAATGGCACCTTGCGGTCGCTCTGTACCCTCCGCCACACATGGTGCCGTACTGCGCCTGCCACCCGTTGGGGGCATCAACCGCCAAGCGTTCACTTCTGACTGCGTTACACTCGCTGCCTTCGATTCTTTTCTTAATGAATGAGATCAGCATTCACGTGGCATTCAGCTGTCTGTGACGGGTGGCCTTAATGCGCAACCACCGTATGTATGTGCGTTGAACTTCTTTCGTACCGTACGTGGCCAAACCGCGCTTAATTGGAGGTGCGGGGGAAAGCACAACAAACTGAACGCACAGCAGTTCGAAAGGAACTGTTTCCGTGTATTCCACATGAGCGATATCTGTTTTTTTATTTTGTTGTTGCAAATTGCTTTGTCTGCCACCAATTTGGTGTTTTTCTTACCCCAACAATGGTTTGTTTACTCGTCTGTCGATCGATCGTGGCAGAAGGTGCACGGACAAGCAGGTGTGTCGGAAATAAAGCCTGGAAAAAAAAGCGTGCGGTCACGACTGTGACAGACGTCTGGCTTTGCAAACCCTTGGCTAGGGAGGTGGATTGTACGATAGCCGCATCTGTGTACGGAGCGCCTGCGTCTGACAATTTGGCAGGAGGAAGCTCGGCAGCGTTGAGCCTCGAGATTGCTTGCAATGGATGACCCACAGTGCATACACAGGCTTGTCGCATGAGCTACGGAGTGGGCAGGAAAGGGCAGTGCAGCAAAAGCAATTGTTGTACTGTACTTCTATGCTCGCACGTCTGTGCTCCCAGCCTAAGCAAACCCGGACTGACCATTGTGGTGAAGTACAATCAGATTTACATGCACGACATTGGTGGAGGTGCTCATCCAGCAGTGGATAGGCAAGTGGAATTGTACATTTCACATGCAATAAAACGGCAGCTAAAAGGCAATTTCGGGTATTTATAGGATGCCGTTGCTCACTTGCCAGACTTAAGAAGTCTGCAGAACCGTTTCTGTATCATGTCACGCTGACACGGAGTGCAGTGCCCCTGGCTGCAGACGTGTGCCATCGCTAGTCACAAGACGTGCCTTTAGTGCCCTACACAAACTGACACTCACAGATGGAGCAGGTAGTGGTGCAGTGGTTCATGCACTGCACGACAAACTAGGCCACACCTGAGTTCAACTCCTTGCCTCGGATATAACATCGGTGGCAAGCGACATCTCAACCGGTCCTTGGACCCAACCTCTTTTACCGTTAACCAACGTGGTTAAGAATGGTCAAACAACCCATACCTGATAGTGTGGGGGAGGTCTTCATCTAGCAGTGGAGAGACAAAATGGCTGCAAATAAATTAGCACTCTAACACCTTTTTGTCTTCTGGCTCTGCGAACAATTTACAGGGCAATCCATTTATAGATACTCCACTGGTTTGTATTAACTCTCTTACTTAACAGAAGAGTAGTGAAGGATTTAACACGTTTATTGAGTGGTGGGAGACATGTAGAGGGTTTTTGAAATAAAATGTTTTTTTTCCTCGAGTTCTCCCTAATATTTTAGTGTGGTGTCTGTAAATGGATCGCCCTGTGTTGCTATTTGTATCGTTTGTCAACTCCGTCGGCTGATTGTCCACACGTCATTTGTGTCGCCGCCCTCCTCTGTAGTGCCACCTGACCTGACGGAGGAGGAGCAGGAGGAGTTGGCCAGCATTCGCCGACGCAAGCAAGAGCTAGTGGTCGACATTCAGGTGCGGTAATTCGGGGAAATTCCTCCACATGTTCCGTTTTAGGTCGCCCAAAAAAAATCACATTTTGAGGTCCAATCGATATTATAAAGCTCCCAATTGACAATTGAATCCAGTTGCATTTTTTAGTAGAGACTGAACCGATTTGGCACGTGTGCCGACGTGTTCAATCCCGCACGACGCGTTCGAATGTGATTTGTCGAGCAGCATCAATCATCAGACACCAGTGACAGGGCTCATCAGTCAGCGCACAGTACAGACAAAAGAACACACACAGACTTTATATTTTTATATTGTTAAATTTCACAATGTGTGCAACAAACCATATGTTAAATTTTGATTTAAAGCTTTCGTGACTGCAGGGATTCATATTATTGGTTCTTTCGGTAAAGTCACGTAGATGATTGCTTGTGTTGCAGTCGAAACGTCGTGATAATTTTATTGTTTTATATTTTTATTATTTTATTGTTTCCCTTCTACGTGACTTGACCGAAAGAACCAATAATATAAACCATATGTTGTTAAAAAAAAAGAAGTGCATGCAATCATTGCTCACAGAAACAAAAAAATTTACAACCCTGCTTAGTTTTGACATCTGTTAAAGAGGCATATGGTGCTGAGTTTCATTGAAAACATTACAATTCGGAGAAAACGGTTGGCTTCTTTGTTGTTCTTCCATTTAAATATTGGACGGAGCTGCTTCACAACCGCTACTACTTCAACCATCACGGTCGAAATGTTATCGGAGCTGGAATGGGCCTTATCACAGGTTTGCAGTTGTAATCGGATGTTACGTAACCGTTGCAATGGATAGTCAGTTGTAACGGTGAATGTTTCCTTGTTGGTTTTTCCCCCCCAATGTCATTCTTCACAACACTGGTCGGTGAACTGGGATCACTAGGTTGCACAAACTACTGTGCACTGCCATCGCCCACCTTATGAAGAAATGTAACGTGAATTGGCGGAAAAAATGCTATAATCTGACTCAACAAGCATCGTATTATATGGAAGAAGTAAATTAAAGAATGCACGTTTGTAACAATGCGTCAGTTAATCAATTTTAATCGATGCCCGCGCTCGCGACACGTGAATCGAATTATTCGTGCAACACCCATTCTTTTGGTGACCCGGAGTCGAACTCGGACCACTAGGTTGACGGCGCAGTGCGAGAACCACTGGTGCCATTTGCTCCACCCCACCTTCGGCACATACATGGGTAAATTCGGAGTGCTCTCGTGGCTGGAGAGCTCGAGGAGTGGACCGCGGAATAGCACGTCGCACCTCCCCGTTATCCGGAGTCGCGGCCGCATAATGAGTTTGTTGACACCGGGGGGCACACGGCGTGGGTGGCCGCGTCACGGCACATCGGCGGCGGCGGCTCGCAATCTCACGGCTAAGGCGTCATTGGGTCAGCCCCAGTCCGGGTAACATCCTCTCTTCCATCCCCCGCCGCCTCCCAACTCCGGTGCCCGTTCTACCGTGTCGGAGACGTAAAGCGTGAAATGGACGCGTGCTCTCGTGTCGTCGTGCGGCGAAGCTGTTGACGTCGCGTGACGTGCGCCCGTTTCAGAGGCTCAAAGACGAAATCTCGGACGTGATGACCGAGATCGCGAGCCTGGACAATGCCGAGGAGAGGTACCTCTATGCACGCGTCGCTCGCTAACAGACTTCCACGTTCATAGCAGTGGTTGTGTGGTAATGCCGCATGGTCACGATTGTTTTTAATGTCCTCGGGATTATGATGATGGGCATTTTGAGTGATTGTATATCCGATTTTTCTTAAGCACAGTCGTGTAATGTGGAGCTTGCATATTTTAAACTGACACTGATGTGAACATGTGAACACGTAATGGTCTTATTGCTCTTATTTAGTTGTCCTTGAGACCGCTGCAGAATGTAACTGTACAGCCCTTTCATCAATCTACTGCTGGATGAGGGCCTCCTCACGCTGTACGTGTCGTGTGAAGGTTATTTGATCATATTTCACCACACTGGTTAGTGCGGGTTGTTGTTTAAGGTAGCGAGCATAAACGTGGAAGCGTAGATTACGGTCCAACAATGGATTTTTTTGTTGCACTACCTTCCGCAACCCACCAGAGCCACAAAGCAGCCTATAACATCCTGCTGTGCGTGGCGATCGCCCTCCGACCACTTATTCGGGCTCAGACGAGCGTAGCTACTGAGATCTGACAAAGATTTGGTGCATTCCGGGTGATTTGCTCAAAGGCCATGCTACAGATGGCCTGTCAGAAAACCTTATTGGAGGTTGGTCTGAAATCGATGTGCTGCAATGATGTTATGAATTTAAAGCGGTGATACAAAACATGTTTTGTTCTGACCATCTGCCTCTGCATCCACCCAACCCCCTCCCTCCAACTTTGTACAGCAAAATCGTGCAGAGGAATAAACAAATGTCCATGGGGAGAAAGAAATTTAACATGGACCCTAAAAAGGTACATTTCGGCATGCATTGTCCGATTTCGATTGTGTTTTGATGGTGTTTTATGTCGGTGCGCGTGAGCATGCATGAATGCCGAGGGCAAAGGACATTGCCCCAAGACTTGTCTGCTTTGGATATATCAGTCGGTCGCATGCCGGGTCCCGCGTAATCCTGTAAACAGCACGTGCACTCCTTGCACAGGTCCACCGCTACTATGAAAAATCCCGCGGGCCTGTCTCTCGGTTTCATTGGACCCTTTTTGCGAGCATTGGTGCAATAGTAATACACCCTTGAGGCTCTCTTGTGTGCAGCGATCCTGCTTCAGCTGCTTGTCCAGTTCTGTTTTTAATGAGCGTTTGCGATGCAACGTGTGTAAACTGTACGTAACTTATACTTTCACACGCAGTTCAGAAGTCCATTTATGACTAATCACCGAAGCTGCTAATGGACACATCGATATAAAAATGTGCAAAGCAGAGCGAGCGAGTGGTTTGCATTTTGGGGTGTCACGCAGTGCCTGGGAGAAAAAAAAAAAAGAACCTATGATAAAAAAATCTCTACAAGATGTCAGCAAACCTGCCTGCTGTTGGAAATTTTTGCTGTCGCAACGTATTGGGAATCTTGATGCGCATCGTGCCGATTGCCAGTTTTTCCAGGGCGCTCTTTCAGGCACACGCCATCTATTGCCGCAGCGTTACCGCTTCTGGGGTCGTCGTGAGTAGCGGTCGGTCTTTATTTTTGTTCCTTTCTCTTCCACGAGCCCCACGCTGTGGGACAGTTGCGGCTACGCCAGTGCGTGGTGGAGCCAGTCCCCCGGAGAGGCGAGGAGGAGAATGGCTTTCCCGTGCAAACAGATAATTTTGCACGCACAGGAGCGTCGGGGGAGACGGGTCGGGGTTGCGCCTATATGGTTTCTCACCGGAAAACCGCGCGCGTGTTGTGCGCCGTTTCCTCCGTCTGTAATCGGCAGCAGCTGTGCGATAGCTCTGATGCGCCAAGGTCCCGTTAACACACGGACCCTTTACGCTCATGAATGCCGTTGCGGTCTTTGAGATGGAAGCCGTTTGCTTATTCCCGTGGCGGTGTCGAGATGGGAAAGGGAGTTATTTATTTATTCCCTTCCAGACAGCCTCATCCTCCTGTGTTGAGCCTCCAGGACTTTGATAAGCAGTGACCTTAATAGGACTCCTCGTCTCATCTCAACGGGGGGGGGGGATGGGGTGCGAAATGTGCTGCCCTTAAATCCCTTTAAAGTATTGTTATCACTGTGACACACCAGTGTGGAATGATGAACTACATTTCCCTCTTTTGATATGTAACATTCGCAAGCTCAACAAGCATCTGTTCTCAAGGCTGCATGAGGAAGACTGCCATCGTCCTTGCTGTCGTGCTATCGTCATCGACAATGATTTGCTCTTCTGTGTGGCTTTCAAATACATTCTTGACCTCGGTCAGTCTTCATACTTGAGGGAGGATTATGTATGGAGATTACTTTTTTTCTTTATCCAAAAAGCCCTAAATATGACACAAGCAATAGAAATGTAGCCTTAAGTTGGAGGAGGATTATGTTCCAATGAAGAAATATTCTCCAAAAGCTCTTAATATTCTGGCAATGAGGAGCTTTCAGCTGCAGACATCGCTCATGGGAGTGTGGATTTTTAAGTGGCACAGAACCACCATTGTTCTATTTATTTTCCCACTTTTCCCTCCATGCAACTGAGCTGGGCCAGGGCTGTGGCGAGCCTGCCCGGTGTGCCGCCGCCGCAGGCACGTGTTTTCTCCCCACTCCACATTTAGAAACATGCCTTGGAATTATTTAAATTAATTTGCTGCTATAAATGTCCAAATTTGGAGCCACTTTGTTGAGCTATTATTTGTGGCCAGGTCGCTTTTGAAAAATAAGTTCATACCTCCGTGAGCTTTGCCTGATAAGATGGGGGATGGTTTAGTTTTTTTATTAGAATGTTTGGATGATTTGTTTTACCTTTCTTGCACTTTGCAATTCTGTTTATGTTTTTGTTTTGTTTGTTGTAATGTTCATACCTGTCCCTACTGGACATCTGTAAAAGAGAGCTTTTATAGCTCATCGGATTCTTCCAGTAGCAATAAATATTCTGATACTCCAATGACCAAGGCCCCTGGCCCTATTTGGCCCCAAGCCAGATTTTTATGTCTTGTGAGGCCAGATTTTCCTGGTTTTGGTTCTAGCTCGGCATTGAGTTAGCCAGTAGAAAAGGGGGATGTGACTTGTGGGCGGCTGTGGGTGCACGTTCTGTTGCACTGTGCCGATATTTTATATTTATTTAAGACGGTGCCCCTCCCCTGGCTCAAAAAGAAGGAGTTTTGGGTGCCTCCGATCTCCATCCCTAAAGCCTGTGGCAGAACTTGTGCGATGCTCTGGCAGTTTACATTAGACGATTACTTTTGAATTCCCACAAAGCGGTGTTTATTAATTTCGTGGAGCCTTGCAGGATGTTCGGGAACGACAGTGTTATGTCAAACACCACGCTGGTCAGTGTGGGTAGGTTGAACGCAGTCAATGAAATGTGATGCATTGCCCTCTTCTGCCCACCACGTGGCCCTCGCATATGCAATGTACATGTTACATATTTCCACTTGCTTAGTGTGTCTTCCCTCGTGTTAAATGATGCGGGTCTGCTGTTTGCAAGTGAACTCTCCTTTTTCTTTATCGGCGTCAGCCGTGGTCCTCGGGAGAATTGGCACTGCCTGATTTTCTGCATTAGCCAAATGACGAATGGGTTTGCTATCAGGACTGCTGTGGCTTGATAAAAGCCCTGGCACATTTTAACATCGATACGACCAATTATCTGAGTGTGTGGAAGCCGCCTGGCCTCTATTGAATGCCGGAAAAACCCTTCTAAAGCGCCCAGCAGCTCGCGCACAAATGAGGGAGGACTCGTCAGATTTCAGACAACCTGCCGAGCGCAATTAAATCGGCCCTTTGGCATGCACGCTGCTCGTCCGCTTTCCCCCGTTATTTTAAATAAATAAATAAATCGGGACTCTCATCGATTCGGACGCTGTGTCGTCTGCGCAGCTGTATTATTCACTGCGGCGTGAATGTCTTAAGGGTTCCAAGACCGGTCGGGGTGTCCCTCCTGGAGGCGGCTCGCTGTGCTGATGGATGATGGCTGCTTGGTTGTTTTTTTTCCATTTGGCTGTCCGACGTGGTGGGTCGATTTTATACAGTGTTTGGAAACGCCGAAAATGATCATCTCTTAAAATCGTGCTGTCTGCCCTGCGACAAGACACGTTCATGCAAATGAAGGGATATAATTAGCAGTTGCTTTTTATTTCCATTGTTTACTGATATTTGAGTTGTTGTAGTTCTCCGATGCATTTTGTTGGTTACGATGTCTGATGTTTCACTCTCCCATGTGGTTGGAAGCTCCTTTCAGGAACTGATTATTGCAGTGCCTGAAGAAGCTCCAAGTATGTGGAGTGATACATCTGGCACAACGTGCAGTGCAACCTGTACAGTACAACAACAGATAACCTACGCAGGATGATTGAAGTTGTTCACGATTAATGCCTGGAAAGATGATCTATGGAACAAAATGCTTTGGCAAACTGTTATTGTTGTTTTTTTTTACACCACAGGGAATTCGGTTCCTGACAGAAAACGAGCTTCTGAAGAACACGCCTGAGGATATCGCTCAGTTCCTCTACAAGGGGGAAGGCCTCAACAAGACGGCCATTGGGGAATACCTTGGAGAAAGGTGAGGCTGGTTTGTGGTTGACACAGGCCTCGGGGTCTCCAACATACCCAGGCAAAAAACCAACCAAATCAGCTAAAAGATTACAATAGTTATTTGAAGTATGTTCTAGACTAGTTTCGAAAGAGTAGATGCAGCAGAGGCAGGCTTGCTTAAATGCATGCTGGCGAGCGACTGATCTTACAGGTCCTTGCCTGTACGATATGGGTCCTAGTACGAGGAAAAATTATTAATACACAATTATGACTTTTTGGTTTAAGTCTTGGAGCTGGAATTTTTCCCAAATAATGTATAACAAATCTAATTTAGCATTTATTAGTGTGCAGTCATTGGCGATTGGGCTGAGACTGTCAACTTAATGCACTTCAGAACCCGGTTTAAGCACGTGCACGTGATTTGGAAAACCCAGGTTCAACACTGGGAACTTGGCGGTGCTGGATCAGTGCTCTTACCCCAGAGCCACCCTGGCCACTTTGCTTCACGTGGGATTTGAATTGGTCGTGTTCATTGCATGGACGTGACCCACACTACGAATTTCTCGGTGTGACTAGAATAAGTCGAGACAAAAATAAGAAAGATTTACAATGACTGTTAGTATGATTTGGACGTAATTTTCATGTACAGTAAATACTACTGTTGTATAGAACAACTGAAAATTGGTGCCTCTGCAGCCCAAAACATAGCCCCGTAGCCTGTAATACATTTTATGCATGGTGGTGGTTGCTCAACCTACCACTATTCAGGCTCATTCCTGTTTAACTTGTGAGATTTGTTGAGATAGGATGAATTCCGGGTGATTTGGTGATAAGCGCCTGGTAAATACAATCCTCGTTAGAGTATATAGACCCCTTGTGTCTTGGAATCTTTAGCTCATTCCACGTGATAGCTTCAACTGCATCACATCAACGTCACTCCTATGTTTTACTGCCACCGCAGTGAAGTGACTAAGCAACAGCGGCATGTCAAACTGTGATTTTCAGTCCTTTTTTTTTCCCCCAGAACGTAAAACTTAAAACTCGTATCCGACACAGCCTGCGATACACATCCTACATACTTAACAAATATAAGATATCTTGATATTTCGTTGCTTTATTAAAAAAAAGTGGTAAATTATCTCTACAGTGATCTAGAGACACAAATAACCAAAGTTCTATAATAGGTGACGTTTCGGGCAATGGCCATTCACAGCACAGAGAGGCCAGAAAGGTCGAGTGAGCTGCAGAGCTCTGAAGATATGTAATATATTAACGGGGGGGGGTGGGGGGGGGGGGTGCAAGCCTCGGTTAGGTTTCATGTTTGGAACATTTCTGATTTGTTTTAGCCAAGTTTATTTTCCTCGAGCCAGTTCCGCTTGTTGCTTGTTGCAAAATAAAGACACAAATCAACTCTGCTGCTCAAATGGAAAAATGCAATGAGTCATGTGTTCAAAATTATTTCCTGTAAGCCTAAAAAAACAACTACAGTACATGCCGATGTTTAAAGAATTGTGTTCGACACCATTGATGTGTCATTGATTCCAAAAAAAACCTTTGGATATGCCGTTGTTAATAATAAAACCATATTAAAATTAACTTGATTTAAAATAAATGTCCAGTTTAATTATTGACTTTTAAAAAATGGTGCATATTTTTTCTCCCTAGTTGAACATTGATGTCGATGTGAACTGTATTATGTGGCCAAGCATTTGCAATGCATATTTGCTTATATCCTTGCATCAATGCTTCTGTCTGCTTATATAAATAATGCGAATCACAGCACATGCACAACATCGTGAATACGTGTCGTTCCCAAACATATCAAATGCCCATACACCATAACAATGCTAAACAAAACATGCTGAACTTATGTGTGCGATTTACCTACATATGCCATCGTGCACAATGCACATATATAATGTGTATGCACTTATCGTAAGTATGACCGTGGATTTTTTGTCGTTGTAATTTCCGGAGAGTCTGCCATTTACAAACACTGACATTGATTGATCGGTCACTGCAAATCCAGGCCTCTGCTCAAAGTATCATAATTCATACATGCACGCATAATGTACACACACATACACGCATCTAAAGCTAGAGAAAACCACATTAATCCTTTGTCATTAGCCAGCAGCTGAGTGGACATCCTGGTTTTGAGAATTTTTCGGAGATTGGAAAGAAGGCTGCGTGCAGTTTGCTAATGGTAAAATTATGATATTTACACTTACGCTTCCTCTTGGGCACAAGACCGGAATTGTATTCCCTATTCTGCGTTCCTGTGTCTCTGGTTTGGCTAAACGATCAATAATAGGCGCACATTGTTCACTTGACAATCCACGATGCGGTCTTAAAATGACGTAACTCCCGGCACACTCCGTTTTACATTCACCACTCTCGCTCGTGTTGTGGCCGGTTGGTTCCTCATCCGGCGTGGGGGTTGGTTATATACGTATACAGTACAGCGTAGTTGACTTAAATTGGTCGGATTCATTGAGCGCATGTTTGAGAATGCATGTTGTTCAAATCACACGTGAAGCTGTATATCGTTTCATATCACCAGGCCGTGTCGGTCGTGAGGGTTATTTGAGCGGACTTTACCACACTAGTTAATGTGGGTTGGTGGCTGGTTTAGATATCATGCCGCTGATGTTAGCAGTGACAGAGAATCAAACTCGGGTTAATGGGTTCGTAGCGCAGTGCGCGAACCACAGCAACACCACTTCGTCCCATCCTGTTATAATGTATGGTAAATACACCGTTAATACTAGCAGTTTAATAACGAGCATTAAATATTAAACTCATCATTTCCAGTCTACTTAGTAATGTAGTGCTCATTAAAAGCTATTTTAATAAAGAGAATTCAGATGTTGACCCAACGTTTTTTTTGTAATTAGAAACGCAATGATACGTGAAGTTACTGTATATTTAAATTATCAGTTATTTTGTAAATGTTTAGTTTTTTTCAAATGAATAAGAATATACATAATTCGTGCACATTTTTAGATACATCGTTGGAACATTACCCCCCTCCTCCCCCCCCACAGTGACCTCTTGAAATGGATCTTATAGGATTACAAATTGGCATTTATGGAATTATTTCTGGCCCCATTATGTCATGACGCAAACTTGGGTCAGGTTATCTGGTGACATTGAGGAGCTGTCGCAGACCAGTAATAGACCATTTTGAGGAATAAGGAATTGTAGATGTAATCAGGAGGAAGAGGCAGTTATGATGGGTGGGGCACATTTGCAGAATATTACCGAGACAATTTACAACAGGTACCCCAGAGGTCAACAAACAAAGCAAGACCTGAAGCCCTGGTAGTCGTAGTGGTGGTGAGATCTTGAATGTCAGGTGCTGACAGGCAGGATAAGGCAGAAGGACGGAAGCAATTCTGAAGTGCTGTGCCACCAATGACAATGGCTATGAGATAACCTCTTGACCCTGAACTTCCCCGCTGAATTACAGATTGGCTCTCACAGTAAAGGGGCCTCCGTGTTCGCACGTTGGACGGCTCGCGTTTGACCTTCGCCCTCTCCCACAGGGATGACTTCAACATCCAGGTACTGCATGCCTTCGTGGAGCTACACGAGTTCGCCAACCTCAACCTGGTGCAGGCGCTAAGGTAAAGGCATCCCACTGCACGTTCATTAATTAATTCTTAGTTTGTTTTCCACACTACCTTTCGTTTCGCTCGCCGCTGTTGGTCGGGGGTGAACTTTGTCACAAACCTAATGCAGATGAGCAGTGTTCCGTTTAAACCGTGTAATTTTGCCTTGTCAATAATAATAATAATAAAAAATCCAGCTCGGTCAGCAGCGTCCGTCCTTAGAGCTCCATGTGGGTGCCCTTGGCAGGCAATTCCTGTGGAGCTTCCGGTTGCCCGGAGAGGCGCAGAAGATCGACCGCATGATGGAGGCGTTTGCCACGCGCTACTGCCAGTGCAACGCGGGCGTGTTCCAGTCGACCGGTGAGGGCCAGGTGACGCACAAAGACATAGGTCCCCCGTGTAGCCTTAACAGACTGTTGGGGCAAGTGCTATTAGACAGCACCTAATGAAGACCAACACGGCACACGAGGAGGTGGGTGGCCAGCACCACGCCCGACCGCCTTTGTCTCCCCAGTGGCGATGTTTACATACCACACCAGGTACTCATTTGAAGCGGAGTCGACCGAAGGGAGGAGGAGGTCCAGGACCAATTTCACATAGTCGTCACTGTTGGCTGTAAGCGAGACTAACTCGAGTCGCCAGGTTCCTAGCGCAGCGCACTAATCGCAACACTACCGCATACACACCCACATGCACCGCTTACGAGCAACACGATTGCTCTCCTGCATAGCAATATTTTTTTTTACTTTAGTTTCCAGCGGGGGCCACACAATACCATGTGCCTGCGGCCCACGTGATGTCAAGGTGTCACGTAAACAGACGTTGTGACATCACACGGGTTTGTGGTGTCCTAACCCCACGTGTATGTAGCTGCTAATCTCTGTGTCTGTTGTCTCCAGGTCTGTCTTATTTTAAGTGCCCTCATTTCAAGAATCGCTGTTTCTTTCTCTTTCACTCGAGTCATCTGTATCTCGTTATGTCTTGGCATATCACTCGGCAGGCCAAAGCCTTTTAGGCCAATTCGAGAGCCTTCGCAGGCCAGATGTGTGGCTGCAGAAGCCTGCCGTAGAGTAAAACAATGAGACGTGTTTTATGTCAGTGAAGCTCGCGTTAAGAGCCTTTAGATTTTTTGTTCTGAATAGTCGTCGTAGTTGGAGTAATAATGATGCATTTTCTCATCCAGCAAATCCTCCCTGAATATCTGACATGTGATAGGAAACTAGAGAATCCAGGGGAAATCCACAAAGACAGGTCGGCAACCTATGGCTCTAGTGGCATCTAATGACAACCTTGTAGCCCTGTAGGTGGGAACGTCACAACACGCTGCAATCTGCCCCATCCTCAAAGCCTCTCGTTAACATAATTAACACTTTTTGGTTTGCTACCCACAATCCCCTTTGTGTAATTAATGATGCAATCGTGAAAAGTGCTTAAATTGGTTCTGCCCATAGCAAGGTGAATTCACTGCACTCGCTCAACGAATTGAGTTGTTTTAATTAGCTTAGCGGGTATAGTGCTCCAACAAGAACATTCAGAATGTACCTTGGCATAGGCTAACCTTGAAAACTATGAGAGACACCAAAGCATTGCAAGTCTGACTTGTTCTCGTTGGATAGCAGGTGTTACTGCCGCATTTTTGCTCAATTGCCTTGTTCGCAAGATAATCTTGAGCACTTTTGCGGGGAATACAAGTAACAAAATAGCTAAGCAAACAATAGGTCCCCTTTGTATATATCTGTTTCTACATCCATTTCCCGACATAGCAATTAAAAGTAGCTTTAACACAACCCCACAGCCCCACGGCCTTCTGGGAGTGCATAATTACACACAAAGGGCTTATGGGCATCATCGTGTCCAGCCAAATAGTGAATTTTAATTTCCGCAGCAAATGCCACGTCACTTATGGTGCGAGCATAATGCCGAGTCAGCCTTAGCCACTGGGATTCCCGAGGTGAGAGGCTGCAGTCTGGAAAACCTTGCAACGTGTTGTTTTGTCAGGGTTTGCATTAGATGAAATTCAAATTTTAACATCTACACAGGTCAGGAATTCCAATACAAATGAGGTTAAAACACATCGAGACTCATCAATACCGCTGCCTTATAACAATAAAATGTATAAAACGGTGACATTTTTGGACAGTGGCCAACGAGGCAGTGGTAATGGCAACGGCGGTTAAGGCATTTGCTCCTTGCTTGCATACTCACTGCCACTGTGGTCTGGTAAGTTTAATTTTATTTTAAAAATTAAGCTTTTACTGGAAGTTTCCTTTAAAAAGCCATGGTTGTTGGAGCAGGTGTGCAGAGGGGAATAGACTGAGATGAGGTAGAGGAGTATGGGGAGTGTAGTTAGTAGAGATCAGAGGAGATGGGTTAGAGTACATTGAAGTTGACGAAGATGAGATGAAAGAGGTAAGGTAGGTAGGAGTGTGGAGGGGAGTAGAGTAAGATAAGAGAGAAAAAGTAGGCAGCAGTGAGTCCACGAAGGATCTTGAATATTCTGAGTGTGCGATCTTGAAGTTTATCCATGATTGCATTGGGTGCAAGTGGAGGGGAATAGGGTATTGGGGAACTTCGGTCTCACATTGACCCCTGCTCGCCGTTTTTTTTTCTGGCGGCGTTGCGACAGACACCTGCTACGTGCTCTCGTTCGCAATCATCATGCTCAACACGAGCCTCCACAACCCCAACGTGCGCGACAAGCCCACCACCGAGCGCTTCATCCTCATGAATCGCGGCATCAACGACGGCGGGGACCTGCCGGAGGAGCTGCTCAGGGTAGGAGGCGACAGCCCTCGTAATCCCCCCCGCAACCCCCGCCCCTCACCATACCGCACTACCGTCGCGCGCTATACCACGAGCTGCAACGAGCTGCCACCTCTGTTGCCGCCTTGCCTGGCACAAAGCCCGGTTGCGTACCGACTTCACGCTGACCGGCTGTGTCGGCTAGTGATGTGTGATTGTTGAATAAGTCATAAATTTACGATGGATATTCATTATTCAGATGGGACAATGGTACCAGTGGTTAACACATTTCACTTCGAACCCGGCAACCCGAGGTTGATTCCTGGCCACGGCTAACATCAGTGGCGACTGATTTCTGAAAAAATTCCTGGCCCCAACCCACCTTAACCGATCCGCAGATGATCACTGTGGTGGATTGAGGTCAATTAATCCTCAATATTTTGTATAATGTGATGAGGCCCTCATCTAGCAGTGGATTGATAAAGGGCTGTCCAGAGTACATATACTCCATTCAGGCCATTTTTTTTAGCCCAGCAGTTTGGGATTCTCACTCGCATGATGCTGTCTGGCCAATTCCCCTCCAGTGTGCTAGATTCGAGGTGTTTGTACTGCCTTGCCTGGTAGTATAAGACCCTGCTACCAACCCATCCACTGAGTTGGCTGAATGTAACTTGGCAGACACAAAGAACTTTATTAACTGCCAATTTTTTGTTTTCTATTATTTTATGTCCTTCCCATTTCAGGATTTTATAATGATCGTTGTAACACAAGTCAATTCGCACAATGGCTAAAACACAATAGGGACATTCACATGTCAAGGTACCTAAAGGAGGATCTGAATGCATAATTCATGACCACAGTAGCGAACATCTGGCTACAGTGGCCAATGAGATGTCACCAAAGTGGATCTGTCCCTGTTTAAACCTGGCAGCAGAGAAACCATCTGCCGCTTGCTTAGAAAGCATGCTGTTGGCAACTGCTGGTGGCGATTGCCACTGATGCACAAAGAGCACTGTGCTTATGCATTATTTAAACACCACAAAATACTTTGGGTTAATTACACAATGGAGCGAAATTGGGCACGTTGCATCCATAGTGCAGCATTGCCGGCATCGTGTAACGGACGAGACATGGAAAAATGTAAGTGGCTTTGTTTGCGCGCCTCTTTTTTTACAGAACCTGTACGACAGCATAAAGAACGAGCCGTTCAAAATTCCCGAGGACGACGGCAATGACCTCACGCACACGTTCTTCAACCCTGACCGGGAGGGCTGGCTACTCAAACTAGGCAAGCGTTGGTGGCGCGCACGGTTGCTGCCGTGGCTTTCCTTCGACACCATTGTCGTTACACAAAAGTCACAAGCCATGTTCATTGTAGCGTTTTTTTATCCAAAGAAAGGTAGACGCACAACCCCCGGCTTGGCCAGGGCACTCTGGGGCCCTTGTTGATTATCTACATTGCCGATTAATTAGTTACATGTTCAATATTAGAGCTGCTTTTCCTGCTGTAGTTCATGATGCCCGAGTGCACATGTTGGTGCTGTTTTGGTGGTGGTGGTGGTGGAGGAGGGGGTGCGTGGCTATAACTTGTAAGTATTTGTGATGTCGAATTAATGTTTGATGATATGTGTTTTTCCATCTCTGAATTAGGGACCTCACAATGATATCAGTGCAACAGCAACAAATTGTAGTTTGTTTCAGCAGCAACTTCACATTGTTGTCATTTCTAGCTCACACTTTTGTTTTTTAGGAGGAAAGGTGAAGACCTGGAAGAGGCGGTGGTTCATCTTGACGGATAACTGCCTCTACTACTTTGAGTACACAACAGTAAGAACATTAGTAATTCTCATCATCATCATATACTGTCATAAGCCCTCTGTGGCTCCATAAGCCATTAGTTTGTGCCTTTCCCACACGCTGGGTTACATAATAAATACATCCCAAGACGCAGCCAAGACCATTGACAAGAGGCTCAGAGGCATGCAACGATTCGCTCCACCTGTGATTCGATTAAATGTTACGATTCGATTCGGCAAAAAAGTTAAATTAGTTTACAGTTCATGAATTGTAAGTAATTCTCACGTGCGCAATTCGATGTATATATTATCGTAACCGTAAGAATCAACATTAATCGATGAATGATTAAATACGACATACTTAAGACCTTGCATTCTTGCTGTTTATACAAATTTAAGTAGGAGTGGTTTGTTCTTTGGAAAAAGTTTGACCTTTGGGCCAGGTTTCCATCGTGACTATAGCGGCCTTAAATGCCGTAATCTCCTTGACAATAGTTGTCAATGGAGACGTGGGAGTGACTCGAGACTCGGAAACACTTTCCAGATACACGAAGGAGTTTATTGCATCTGGCGCTACCTGTGCCTGTCTCTCGTGCAGGACAAGGAACCGCGGGGAATCATCCCCCTGGAGAATCTGAGCATACGGGAGGTGGACGACCCCAAGAAGCCTGTACGTGTTTACACAAAGGCCGCTGCGTGCTTTGGCACAGGCATCAACGGCCTTTGCATCTGAATGTGATCACAAAGATTGTAATTATTGTACACGGCACATGGGCTTTGGATGGTGCTGTGGTGTAACGGTGAGGACATTCGACTTGCAATCCAGAGGTTGCCGTGTCGATCTCCCGACTTGGCGTTTGGAAGAATGGTGCACGTTTTTTTTTTTAAATCCTCCCGGCCTCCCCGCCCGGAAGAGAGCACAGTTTTGGCCGATGGGCAAATCGCTTGTGGTGTGGGTCAGCTGTGGATACTGCCATCTCTTCCAAGATGTCTGGCCAGCATCGAAGATGAGGCCAAAATACCCTCGAGAGGCGCTCTCTCGAGCTGCCGCTCAGAGAAGCCCTTTCATCAGCAGTGGCATGAGCAAGAAATTGCAGGGCTCCTCCTTCACCTTTTTCGTGTGTGCAGCAAAGGCAGACTGCACGCCACCTTGTGGTTTTTATGCGAACGGCAAGTGTTGGAACGAACAGATGCCGATGGGATGGAAATATTACGAGCAACATGTGTACAGTTTAACACGTAGGCTTTTGTAACCAATATCATCCATGAATACAAGTTTTTGGGGTTATATCGCATGAATATATAAATGTGTCGTGAAAGCCGCCACCACCAAAAACAGCCAATTAGTAAGGTTTGTCACGTAAACAGACGTTTAAGGAACGAAACAGGAGGATTTCTCCACAAATCTAGCTTGCCTGATGAAGCTAGTTGTAATTACTGGCGAAACGTCGTACTGGGGTTGTAGATGTTGTGGCTTCGCTCTCCAACATACTTGTTTGCTGTACTAGTAACGAATTGGCATGTTCTGTTTACATGACAAACCTTACTCATTGGCTGTCGGGTTGTGGCGGGTTTAACGACACATATTTACGCGATCTATCCTAAAAAAACTTGTATTGTGAACATGTGTACAGCTCTTTTGTGCATCCCCTACAGCACCTCCCCCGCACATTATGCAGGTCGTCGGTAATATCTTGCCATACTTCACCGCTGATCAGTGCAGGTCCGTGAAGGCAGAGAGCATGGTGCAGTATAACAATTAATTCTTCCGCTCCGCCACCTGCCGACCAACGTGGCCCCGCAACATCTCTTAACTGTGAACAAACAAACAAAATATCCAACGAGCAGTGCGGCTACCACCGCTGTTGGTGGTCCTTGGGCAGTTATGTAAATTTTGTATTCCCCATGGCAGGGGCCAGTTTATCAAGAGGGACAATCGCTGTTGACGTTGCACGAATTGGTACTCGTGTTGACCCCGAAAGTATTATTGGCCACCTGTCCAACCGTTAAACAGCTTTGGTGCGTTAAAAAATATATATATATTCTCAACCAAGAGTAAAAGTGCGACTTAAAATCGCTACGCATTTTAAAGTGTTAGGACGGATCGATAGGGTGCTTAAGGACATTTGGAAAGGTGTCTCGTGTGTGTGCCGCAGACATTTGTACTCTAGCTGCTTTCCACGAGATTCGTGAGTGATCGCAGACCATTGATTTTGTTTTGAGTTCGCTTCTGTTTTTCATTCCTCATTGTTTTTGCTCTCTGCAATATAGACACATATAGACACATTTGGATTATGTCACCCTTTCCAACAACGCGTATTGATCTTGGAGTATGTGATGAGCAGCGTGGAAGCTGAAGAGATACCTGTCAGGGCAGAATTATTTTTGCATGTTAGCAAATTGTTATTTTTATTCTTGTTTGGGCAACCCTTTTGGTCAATTTGGCCGATTTTCAATCGGATGAGACCTCGTTACAACAAAACAACCTTGTACTGAAGCTTGGCTCATTTTGGACCTAGTTTACAAAATTTATGGTGTGGGCCCCCCCCCCCCCCCCCCCCCCATTACAGTTGGTTGGACAGACAGACCGCAATAATGGATAAGCACTTTGAACCTTGTGGAAAGTATTACAAATAAACATAGATACGGAGCCACATAATCGATCTTCTTCTTTCGTATGGCTGATGTACAGTGAGGGAAAAAAGTATTTGATCCCCTGCTGATTTTTACGTTTGCCCACTGACAAAGAAATGATCAGTCTATAATTTTAATGGGAGGTTTATTTGAACAGTGAGAGACAGAATAACAACAACAAAATCCAGAAAAACGCATGTCAAAAATTTCATAAATTGATTTGCATTTTAATTAGGGAAATAAGATTGCTTCTGTGGACAGGTGTCTTTTATACAGGAAACAAGCTGAGATTAGGAGCACTCCCTTTAAGAGTGCTCCTAATCTCAGCTCGTTACCTGTATAAAATACACCTGGGAGCCAGAAATCTTTCTGATTGAGAGGAGGTCAAATACTTATTTCCCTCATTTAAAATGCAAATCAATTTATAACATTTTTGACATGGTTTTTCTGGATTTTTTTGTTATTATGTCTCTCACTGTTCAAATAAACCTACCATTAAAATTATAGACTGATCATTTCTTTGTCAGTGGGCAAACGTACAAAATCAGCAGGGGATCAAATAGTTTTTTCCCTCACTGTAGATGCAGAGCAACAACCCACAATTCCACGTTCAGGCGGTCAAGCCAGATAACCGCATCGGGAGCAGCGGAGTTGTGCATCTCTGTGATGTCTCCTTGGTATTTGTCGTTGGGGCATTGCATCGTCATATGTTGTACGCCCTTTTGGATGACCACAATCGCACATCGGAGAGTTTTACATTTCCCATTTGTGCATGAAGGTATTCGCATCTGCCATGGGTTGTACGGATGTACTTTATATGGTGGGACCATGAGCTTCGTGGAAGGTCAAAACCAGGGATCTTCTGCATTGAGTCTTTCACAAGGTGTTTGTTTGGTGAAGCAGAGCGAATGGGAACCGTCGTGGTTTCACGTTATGACGTGCTAATGCTGCTGCTGCTGACTTCTCTGTTTTCACACGCTTTCCGTGGCCAGAACTCCTTCGAGCTGTTCCTCCCCAACAACAAGGGTGGGGTGATCAAGGCGTGCAAGACGGACACGGACGGCCGCGTGGTGGAGGGGAAGCACATGGTCTACCGCATCTCGGCACCTTCGCCTGAGGAGAAGGACGAGTGGATCAAGTGCATCAAGTGCGTTTACAGCAGAGCACACACAAGACAATGACCCCCCCACCCCCCGTATAGCCTTTTACAGATTGTTGGGGCAAGTGCTGTTAGCGAGCACCTAATGAAGGCCGGCACACCCAGCCGCCTTTGTCTCCCCAGTGGTGATGTTTACGCACTACACTAGGCACTCATTTAGGGGGGGGGAGGCCCTGGACCGGTTCAGATAATCATCACCGGTTTTGGCCATGAGTGGGAATCGAACTTGGGTCGCCAGCTTCGAAGTGTAATGCGCTAACCACTACACCACTGCAGAGCACCTCTGACGAGCACGGTTAGCTTACGTAGGTTGCGAAAGAAGTTCTACATAGAGAGTGCACAAAATGATCGCCTGATCGCCCGTATAGCCTTAACAGACCGTTGGGGCAGGAGCTAGGCGTGCCCACAACCACAACAGGCGGCGTGCACCATTGCATCGCGGTGACATCGTAGTGCTCATGCCAAGAAAAGTGTACGTACATGCGCACACTTGTGTACCTGTGCAGTCCTTTTGTCAGCGTCCTGCTGGATGAGGGCCTCTCCATGCTTTTGAGGGTCATGAGAGGTTTTTTTTTACCATATTTTTCCACGATGGTCGCTGTGCAGGCTGTTGAAGGTGGTGGGTAGCATTGACGTGGAGTCACCAAAGTGCAGCGCGACGATGGAATTTGTGCTGCACTCCCCTCTACTCATAGTCGCACAAGCCCTATGATGACAACCTGTTTTGTGCACGGCTGTAACCCATCCAAACACTATCCAGGCTCAACCCTACTTAGTTTCCAAGATCTGATGGGATCAGGTGCATTCCAGGCGATTCAATCGCATGCACCGATATGTACACGTGTATGCATGTATTCGCAGTTACGCGCGTGCACATGCCTGCACACATTCACAGCAATAGCCACCGTGTGCCACCAGGTGGTGGTGATGTCACCGAGGCACTTTGAGATCATGTAAAGTGGTGAATATATTGCCATCAGCCACCCAGTAAGTAGCATCTTTCCGAAGCCTCCACCACAAACATCGATCTTTCGCAACAAGAGTGCTATCCATCAGCAAGTGCACTTAGCTCGGTCTCTTCTGTAGCCCATTCCATATCTGTGCAGCCCCCTTTGTCCGACTGTTTAGACATGTGGAAGCTGAGCATGTAGACTATAATACTTCCAATGTATCCTTGTCCAGATATTTTAGGTATCTGTGAGCTCCTTAGACATTTTCAAACAGTGATGAATAATGAAGTGGTGGTTATCGCTCCAGGCAACCAGGAATTCTCACAATCGAGGTCGTAACTTAAATTCCCAACTGGGAGTTGGCCTATGGTGATCAACTCTTCCACACGCTAGCAATGTTCTGGGCCACCAACAAAGATGGTCACTCCCCCACACTCATTTGAGATTTGGTGGAGACCGACTTTTACAGGTGTGAGCATATCGCCGCGTTGCCGTTGTGGTCAGAACGTCACGGCAGTCTTCGTGCTTTGCAGGGCAAGCATCAGCAAGGACCCCTTCTATGACATGCTGGCCACACGGAAAAAGAGGATTTCCATAAAGAAGAGGCAGACATAATGGGGGACCTGTATGTTGCGAGTACTCAACGAATGTACATGCAAGTAAGAGGACGACTGCCTGCCTGCCTGCCTGCTTACCAGCTGTGCGCAAACCTTGTGAGACGCTTCACCACAAGAGGATCGCTGCAGGCACCAAGGAAAGTGCGATCAGCAGGCAGTGACGCGCGCACAACTTGCGGGAAACTTCTGCGAGACCGCCGGATATCTGGGACGAGACCTCAGAGATTGAAAGACACTTGCACGCTCGGAGAAAGACGGTGGTGGGGGGGGGGGGGGGGGCGGTTTACGCATCGGCGTTTTCGCGCAGTGTGCTCGCAGGTGCAGCGTCCGCGCTGGTGGATTTTGTACAAACGCGCGTGTAAATCTTGTACGTGTGCAGCACACGCACGCACCACTCGCAAAGGGCCTGGCATTGGGGAGTGGGGGGGGGGGCGGGGGGTTTGAGTGTGTGGCGGCCGGTAATGCAACGCAACCGCGAATTGCAATCATTGGGTTTAACACGTAGGCTTTCGCGACCAATATTATTCATAATAAAGGTTTTTGTGTTAGATCGCGTTATTTATAAATGTGTCGTAACCCTCCACCACCCGACACGGCCAATCGGCAAAAAAGTGTCACGTTGACAAAAGACAAATAATGCACTACTTTAGCCCACCGGTGTGTTGAAGAGTGAATCCACAACATTTACAGTTTGAGTACGACGTTTCGCTGGTAAATACATCCAGCATCATCGGGCAAATTGCCCGATCGGGCGCACAACTTGTCCGATCGGGCAATTTGCCCGATGATGCTGGATGTATTTACCAGCGAAACGTCGTACTCAAACTGTAAATGTTGTGGATTCACTCTTCAACACACCGGTGGGCTAAAGTAGTGAATTATTTGTCTTTTGTCAACGTGACACTTTTTTTGCTGATTGGCCGTGTCGGGTGGTGGAGGGTTACGACACATTTATAAATAACGCGATCTAACCCAAAAACCTTCATTATGTGCAATCATTGGGGTTAGAATCGTGATTTTAAGTTGCAAGCAACAATCTGGTCTGTTTGCCGCTGGCCCTGGGGCTCCTGATCAAATGTGAACATGGCCATTACCGACGCTGAGAGTCAGATGCATTGGGTTCTAATACATTCGTCATTTTTGTTTGTTCCCCCCCCATAATGGAGCTGCAAAGGCCAGTGTCAGGCATTCCGTTGTCATTCACACAGGCCTCCACTAGTTAAGATTTGGCTTCCTAAGCTGTGTGAGGACACTCGCTGGCTTTAGCCAGCATTTCATAAGAGATCAGAGGAATATAGATGTGCATTAATTTATTTAAAAGATCCTCGTTATTAGAATATATATGATATAAAATCTTGCTTTAATTTTTTTTTAAACTCCTGTACACGAGTGTTTCTTGTTGTGGCAAATTTTTAAAAGGAAAATATTTCCGAAATGATATTTGAAGAAAAAAATATATAAAGTAACGTATGACCTTAAAAGTTAAAGTATATTTCAATTAAGGAAAAGATGCAAGTCATAATTACTGCAATTATTTCTGGCCAGGACCAAAACATTGCTATACAAAGAAATTGGTATACAAGGCCAACTTGTTTACAGGTCAATAGGGGTTTGTTTTTTGTGAGCATCGTAATGTGATGCGATGGACATTGTAGTGCTGTGTGCATTCGCCCTTTCCCGCTCTGTTGACGTACGTGTATGTCATCAGTTTTCTCGATTCCGTTCCAATGACGTACGTGTACATCAAAACAAAACCGGAAGAAAAACTAAAATAAAATAACTGTGGTACCGAGGCTCCCACAAGGCCATGCGGGAGAGCATGTGGCACATTTTGGCGCCAGCTACCGTAGAGTACGGTCATGTTGCTACGGTTCTCTGCGGTGAGTACAATATCTTTAAAAATCAACACCGGTGCTATGCCTCTCTAAATAAAATTAATGCTGAACCGCTTACGCGTTCCCGAGATTCAGAGGTAACCAGGACAACCCAACCTGCAACTTGCAGACGTCTCGGAACGGGAAAGGGTTAAGAACAGTGAGCACCAGTGCAGTTAAGTGTGAGCAGGGGGGTTCCTTGTAGTTGAGCACGTGTGAAGACCTTGTCTGCAGGGGCAGCGAATGCTTTGTGGTAGACAATCTTTGTCGCTCTCTCTGTGTCTGGGCCCTGGCGGCGCTGTGAGCAAGAGAGCACGACTTTCCAAACGGAATGTCGAGAGTTCAAATCCTAATTGGTGGAGGATTGACTCGACCCATCGTCGCTGTGGGGCCGATTTAAAATCTGAATCAATTTGTGCGAATCAATGTGTGGCCATTCAACAGTGGTTGCCTTATGAAGAAACTAATCTCTGCCCATAGCAATGTTGGAATTTCTTCGAGAGGCAGAGGGACCACCCAGGTTTGAGCTCTGAGACACTGAGCTGTCTACAAGGGGGGGTGGGGGGGATGGAGGAGTGTGGGCATTGTCGATGATTACTCTAACTTCTCCCCAGGGGGCAGCAATGATGTCAAAACAACAACCGAGTGGCGTGAGCAGCAGCTCTCTTACTCAATCCACATGGGGGGCAGGGGGGGAGCGATCGCATATCAACCACATCTCATCCCCGCGGTTCCCATCAGCACGTGGGCATCCAACCTCGGGTTTTTTTTTTCTTTCCACACCGATTCTGGTAATTGCCGGATGAAAGTCTCCCGATGCCACCATGTCAATCGTCGGGGTTGTTTGACCACACTCTGAGCAGCGCGAGTTGGTGGGGTGGGGGGAGGAGGAGGGGTGTAGCCGAGGAACGATTCGGACGTCGCGTGCCACGAATCTTAGCCGCGGCCGGGTATAAAATAAATACAAATCATGTCGCCCGGTTCGCGAAAAAAAAAAATCGCTCACCGCTCCGCCACCACTCCACCCCATCGGACCTATTAAGGGAACCTTGCCTTGTAAGGCACCTCGCGCACGGGGACTGTCGTCCGGTCCACGGTGGTCGCCAATTTTGGTTGTGGTGCAGTCGTCGGCACTCGTTATCCCGGTCCCACTGCCGCACGTCGCGTCCACATCGCTCGAGAGCCACGGTGCACTGTTTACTGTTGACGGCGATCATGATGTACATTACCTATAGAGCGGGTTGCTTGTTACCTATAGCGAGATGAAATACCTTTGCATGGTGTGACCCGTTATGTCCGCTGACACACAAGGGAAATTGTTTACTCGCGCTAATCATCAAGGGGGGGGGGGGGGGTGTCGTTGTATGTTGGCAGCACAGCGTGTACGGTATGTGAACATGAAGGAAAAGTATTATATTTATTCACGCAATTGTATTCATGTTTATCCAAACCTCTTGAGCCGAGTTAGCACTGTTAATGTTTGCCCACTGATTCGCGCGATCAAACTTTGTATGAAATATTGAGCTGGAGCTTAAGACTGCAATTAATAAAATGCTTAGCTTTGTGTATGTATTATTGTTCTTTAATAGCAAATGCCGTCTTCCTGCACAAATCTAAATCCCAAATGATTTTTTTTTCAGAAAGAGGTATTCTTGTTGAATACAGCTTAACGCGGATAGATAATATAATTAACCTTTACGTGCGTTCACTCTTTCCCCTTTAAACCGTGTTACAGTAGGGGCAAAGGGTACACGTTGAAACGACTGGCAATGGTACAAATCGTAAGAGCAATGAACAGCCGTGTCCAAACGAGCATGCGTGTAGAATTACAATCCTCCATTGTATGTATGTTGACCTTTTTCACCGTACGCAGCCAACCGTGCTCATCGGAGGTGCGGGGGAAAGACAACAAACTAAACACAAAAAGCAGTTCTAAAAAAATTGGTTTTCGATCTAGATTGCAAGTGCATAGCTCCAGTGGCTTCCAAATATCGGAAAGAGAGCATTCCAGATGGCCGCAGAAGCACATCTGAAAGCGCGCGAAGCAGTGACCGTCTTTCAACGTATTCTACGTGTGCATATTGCATGGTTGGTTCAGGGTTCGATGTTTTGTCCACGTTAAGCATCGGCTCATGGTAAATACGTTTTTGCCTTAACAGTGTGCCACGCACTGTGGATGTGATATCCACTCGGGGCTTCTGGGTTCATTGATTCCATTTCTTAAGTTTGGCCGTCAACAGAAGGCATTTAGAAAATCGTATTTGAAACTATATTCACATTTAATCAGTAGAACACGGGAGTCTTGGATTGGGATTGGCAGGGTACAATTTGTGTTTATTGTAGGTGTGATATTGAGGCCAGGTGATACATCTAGTTGTTTTAGAAATCGTGAGTCGAGAAATTTGATTTATATGGCGTAACTGTGTCACAAAGTGAATTTACATTAGTGCGATTACCATTTAAGCTCCAATGCAAGCAAGGATGCCCTTACAAAGTAGTTTTAACCAGTTATCAATATTAAAGCATGCCCTGTATCACATTTTCCAGAAGCCACGGTAGAAACATTAAATAGACGGGTCATATTTTATGGGCAAGCAACCCAAACAATTCACAATGCAAAGGAACATGCAAATCTGAGTGCTTTGAAATTAAGCAATACATTTTCTGCCGATGGCCCTAAAACGCATCGATGTTGTTGTTTGCAGCGCTTTCGGTTCTTTCCAAAGTGGTTTTGGATGTTGAGTCTATCACAGTGCACATGTTTGTGGCTGCATAAGGTAGCCACAGGCCAGAGCGGTAAATACGTGTGCCCACGATGCAAACCAATAGAATATATTGCTGGTATTTTGGGTTCTGAGAATTGAAGCCATTTGCACCAACGCCATGAACCGAAGTATGATTAAATTCAGCCCCAAGTAGTCCAGATTAAAATTTGCTGCAATTCTGCTCAAAGTCACAAGACGGCGACTCTTGGTGCAAAGGCAAAAAAAGGCCTTTTCAGAGATGCGTAGAATCTTCCTCTCCTTCAGGCTTAGCGTTGCTTGCATATAACCTTTAACGGTGTGGGTTTGACAGGCAGAAGAAGCTGCATTTTCCTAGTCTGCTTCATTGGCCTTGGCTTCGCAACTCAGGGGGTGTCCTGGAAAAACTTGATAACCCATATTTTATATTTCATATAACCCATGCTAGCTTCATTGGAAGACTTTAAAATCCCCCCCCATACACTTTTTTAAAGATTGATTTATTATCGCTCCCCACAGATGTTCACACAATGAAGTTAAATTATTTTCATCCGCTTGATCCCACACACTCATCACTTTTCTAGACAATGTGATTTTTTGTGGGTTGTGTTTTTCCAGGAAGCATCTCAACTATTTTTTTTCATGCCACCGAACGGTTGAATTGCAACCGTCTGGTAATAAATTGTCATTTGCCATTACTTGATATATCAGTGTGATTTGTCTTTCAGCAAGCACCCGCATCGTGTAATATCGTTCACAACAACTTAACCTCGATACCATTGAGACCATCTCCAGATCTTTATTGCAGTCTCTGCGTGCACAACGGTGTCCCTTGACTGACAGCTTCACGACAATTTCAGTTTTGTTTACACACTGTGGTTAGGGCCCTTCTGGAACGCGTGCTGGAATAAAAGTTTAACAATTAAACGTTGATGTGTGGGGTTTTTTTACGTCGGCTTTCCGATGTCA